CAAAAGCCCCAAGCCAATATCCGCAAAACATGTTTCCTCGGGTACATCGGACAGTTCGCCAAACAGGCCTGATCAAGGCAAGTAACGCAGAGTCTGCACACCTTTCCGATCCCGTACCCAACGGACTGGCCGATTCTGTCACCTACAGGCATCAAGAGGAAGTGAAATCGGCTTTTGGACCGCATTCGGGGGCCAGCATATTTTCGTTGGGAGACCTCAACGATGCGGTGCATGACGAGGCCCGTCGTCCGGAGAAGTGTGTTCCCATTGAGATACCCATGTGCAAGTCCATAGGGTATAATCTAACCTACATGCCCAATGAGTTCAATCATGAGACCCAGGAGGAAGCCGGACTGGAGGTGAGTAATGCCCCAATAGGCTTCTTGCTGTCGCTTGCCCTTCCTTACTGTCTGTCGGATCATGTGGGGTCTTTGGATGTGTAAGCATATTTTTTTCCTGTTCTCATGTTGTCCGCACATCATTCAGAAGGCGGTGTTTCGAACTGAAGGGTGGTACCGTAGGAAGTCGGTCTGTTTGAGTACTAATATGCCTGTACCATATATTAGGAATGGTAAACCCTCGTGTCCAAGTGGCATTTCTTTTGAAAAACCCCTGACACTCGTATGCTATTGGTGTTGTAACGACAGGTTGCGCGTCGTTAAAGTTATAACGATGACATCTGAGGTGTGTCACCGTTGAATTACGCCCTGTTGAAATCCCCAAAGAAGAACACAATTGGAAGGGCGTAACTTTTGGAATCCACTCGGAGGAGGGTTTAGTGTGTACAAAACCCGGTGGAACTGTCACGGGTGGCTTTTTGCCTGTTGTTGGGGTGATCTCCAGGGTCCTCGCTATCCGGTGGGGCTGCAACTCTTTGTGTCCCCGCCTCGGGACGAGCCCGGCATTGGGAGCGGACTGACGTCACCACGCGTCCGCTGTTAAAGCCGTCTGTGTCAGGGGTGGCAGTGGCTTATAAGAGATTGTCTGCGCATTCTCTTGTGGCCTGGTTGGCCGCACTGGGATAACGTCACGCGACCAGTTGACCCTCGGGCTTTGTGTACGTCCGTGTGCGTTCCTGCGTGCGTGCGCGTGTGCGGTCTAAGGTCATCCCGT